TGTAATACTAGCTTACTAAAGGGAAATTCCACCTTTTTTTTTTTAGAAAAAAAAATTATAAATGCACGCTTCAAAAATGAAAAAAGTACTGCAGGTCTTATAAAAAAAAAAAATCAAATCTCTATAAATCACGTGGCCTAGTTCACACTAGACGTGCTCTAACACAGTAAACAACCTAAAACACGTGTGCTGCCTTTTAGGGGAACATAACAAATCCCCAAACACTGAAAAGTTTACTAACCTGTAATGGAAGTGTATTTATAGAGTAAGTGGGTGTACAGGTAATAGGATATGGCTTGCTGTACTGCATTCGGTCCTGACTGCTGGAACCTATATCATTTACGTAATCGATTTAGTTGCCTTTGTTTTTTTTTGATCGGATAAAAAATTACCATCCTTCATTTAAAATAAAAAATACACTCGTGCAGTGTTACAAGAAAAAAAGTTTACTTCAGAATAAAACTGCATGCACAATTTTTTGCAAACGCACTGCACTGGAACATACGGCATTGCGGCACTGCGCATTCCAGTGCGGGTGATCACACTGTGGGTGGGAGGTGCTTTTGGGGTGCCATTGAAATTAATGGCACTGCAATGCACCTCCCGCAACAGAATTTGTCAGGCCGAAACTGAAAATGACTTTTTTGGTTTTTTTTGTCCCCACCAATTTTTTCTTTAAAAAAAATAATTGTATTGCAAGCACATGGCGCTTGAATAGCTTCAGCCAGGGAATGACAGCTGCCGGTAGCAAGATTCCGCAGAGGGCAGCTTAATGTAAATACAGCAGGTAGTGGACTGGTGCAATAGCCAATAGCAGGCTGGCTATTGAACCCGCCGAATGCTTTCTGTGCCCTCCTCCCAGCGTGGAGGAGAGAGCTAAGGGATTCAACCAACTCATCGATAATGAGAATAGTTGACAGCTATTCTCATCAATTACTTGGTTGCAGCCCTACAACTTTTTCAAGAACAAGTAAAAGTGCTTTCCCTCAAGTATTTGCTGATACCAATTACCGATAATGTTTCTTAAAAGGGACATGGGATATTTTTTTCTAAAACAATACAGACTAATGATTTTATCGCAGTTTCTCACCAGGGCTCTGTAACAGATCTCACCAGGGCTCTGTAACAGATCTCACCAGGGCTCTGTAACAGATCTCACCAGGGCTCTGTAACAGATCTCACCAGGGCTCTGTAACAAATCTCACCAGGGCTCTGTAACAAATCTCACCAGGGCTCTGTAACAAATCTCACCAGGGCTCTGTAACAAATCTCACCAGGGCTCTGTAACAAATCTCACCAGGGCTCTGTAACAAATCTCACCAGGGCTCTGTAACAAATCTCACCAGGGCTCTGTAACAAATCTCACCAGGGCTCTGTAACAAATCTCACCAGGGCTCTGTAACAGATCTCACCAGGGCTCTGTAACAGATCTCACCAGGGCTCTGTAACAGATCTCACCAGGGCTCTGTAACAGATCTCACCAGGGCTCTGTAACAGATCTCACCAGGGCTGAATACATGACATGTCACCAGAGCTAAATACACATCTCACCAGACTGCAATCTCACCAGGGTGGCATGTGGATCTCTCCAGGGCTCAGGCAGTGGCTATGCTGATCAGACGGGTGCCAGTGGGGGAAGTGATAGAACATCAGTCTGAAATGCTGGGTTGAATGGGCAGGTGCCGGCTCTAGGGGCTGTACTGAGCAGTGTGGGGCTGTCCATGGCTGTGCCTGCGCCGGGAAGGCCAGTACTGCCCTTAAGAATCTGGGATTTTTAAGGAGTACAAGTACTCGGAAAAATACCCGGTATCAGCTCCGATGCCAATACTAGTATCAGGACATCCCTAGTTATCACCCTCCCTTACTCAATGTTTTGGCTTTGGTTCTACTTTAAAGTGTATTCCTACTTTTGCGGTCACCCTCTATTTGTCCTCATGACCGTTATCACAGAGTAAATGTGAAAGTAAAAATCCCAAATTTTGGATTGTCATCAGAACAGGAATAGATGGGGATTCTTAAAATGAGGACACCCTGGTGGCACCTAAGGCTTTCCCTCACTTTGGAGGGGGTTTCTCTCATTTCCTCTTGTGGCCATCAGACAAAGTAAAGGGAAATCTCCTTTATGGGACACATATGGCAAAAAAAAAGCTGACGGGCTATTACCCCCTTACACTATTAAAAAAAAGTTTTGGCTTTAGTTCTACTTTAATAGAACTAAAGCACCTGCCTGGGTAAGTAGTGAAACATCTGCAGAACAAGTCTAGTTTAATGTGATGAATTATTACTAGCTACTCCTCTGTCAGGTTAGTATCGGCTGTCGCTTTAAGGCCCTATTCACACTATGCCACACTTGCCTCAAGCGGATCCGCGCGGCCGGGATAGCGCGACTGTTTCGTGCAACGGTCCAGCGACCTTCACCGTCGGGCTGCATACAAAAATAGAAAAATTGCGCGACATCCGCGGGAAAAAGGGTCCCGCACAAGCAACAGCGACGAGCGACATGGAGCTGTTCAATAGAACAGCTCCATTGAATATCATTGAACGGCGACTTCTCGCGATATCGCGCGGCAAATTTGCGCGATATCGCGGCGGAAATCACACGATTGAACGTCCAGTGTGAATGGGCGCTTACTGAAGGATTTCCCTATCTTCCTGCCCCTATGACTGTGTTCACAAGCCCAATATGTGAGAGAGAATCTGTACAATGAGGACATGGGTTTTATCATTTTTTACTAGGACTAAAATGGACCGTTGTAGGAATACTTTAATGTAGTATTAAACTCTGAAACTTTTTTCAATAATGGATCCGGATCAAACAAATCTAAATTGCCCAGCAAAGTATTTCTTTACATTTTTGCCCAATTCCAGCTGCTTCCAACTCCCTAAGTTCTGCTTCCCTGAACTCCCAGTTGATTACTAGATCACAAGGAATAACACAATCTCTAGCAGCTGTCCATTTACTGGCTTGGAGAAGAGAGGAGCAGGAAGCGAGGACTGTCTTTCCCTGCTGTACCTGTGTGTTTGTACAAACACACAACTTTTGTGTTCAGGGGACCAGCTAATTCTGAAGGAAACAAACTTTTAAACATCAGAGCAGCATCCATTGTAAGCAATTTAATCTGCATTTAAAATGGCTTAAAAACCTTTTGACTTTAAGATCACTAAGTTTAGATAAGCGTTTAGATAAGTCAGGTTTTTGTTTCCAGTTTGTCAGTGGCTTTAGCTCTCTTCTCTGCCCTCCATTTTAGTATGTTCCTTTCCAAAGGCAAAAAACCCACCATCTGTGATTTTGCAGCTTTAGCCATTTTGCGTCTTTTGAGTTTAATCAATTAGGAAGACTTGTTTCTGAGATTCAGCAATTTGCTCTTGTCTGTTTCATACTCAACAAAGTCCATAAACAAACAACTGATAAACTAGCTCTCAAAAGATCAATGTTCTTTATTTTAACATGTCCTTTTTAGCATATCGAAACAAGCAATTTTACACCTAATCTACAGGGACAGTGGGGGACCAATATCAAATATAACTGATTCCCCAGTTTTCACAAATAGTACTGTCTTTGTATCTTTTAGTGTTCTGTATGCAATTATGTGCCTGCTTCTTACACATATGCACTAGCGCTGTCAACTGGAGGTGAGTGATTCTGTCCCCATACAAAGACTGGGGACAGATGCAGTTTCCCTACATTAACATATGATGCAGAAGTCAGGCTTCTAGATCTTTAACCCTTTTGTTAGGACAGTGTTGAAATCTAGAAAAGTTTATGGTTTTAAAAGCGCCAAGGACAATCCTTACCCCTCCTGGGGAAGAAATCGTAAGCACATATGCAAGGTGCAGCCTCAAAAACAGTCAAGGGTACTGGAACATCTAAAAAACACAAAAGAAGAGGCGCCTTTCCTGGTGCAATATCATTTAATCCAAAAAGACAGGCATAAAGGTGAATTGACAGGTACTCACTATGTTGAAGATAAAAACAAGCCGTTGGACAATATGACCAGAGCAATAAAAAGATCCGGATAGCGTGTCCTGTATAAAGCACTGCTGTGTCGACGCGTTTCCGGGGCACGCCCCCTTCATCAGGACGTAATGCCAGTCTCCTCCCTGCTGTAGCTTAAGAATGGGCTGCTCGGACGTGATAGGGTCAAGTAATAGAGGCTGATTGGACGGCGGCTGGGGATGGATGGTATCAAAGACGGCAGGCAATAACAACCTTGTGTATGACACCAAACTCGCGGCCAATCAGAGCTGTTAAAAACCGATAACTATAATGACATAGATCGGATCTACCATGAATACTGGCATATAGCAGCAGTCTGCCCTATGTAAAATCGTATAGAAACGGGGGAACAGGAGACTGGAATCACATATAAAACCACATACTACATATAGACAAATGCATATCAAATTTACATATTATAGTAAAAAACAGTATGACATAAAAAGTCTGACAAAAAACAGTATAAAAAAACCTGTCAATTCACCTTTATGCCTGTCTTTTTGGATTAAATGATATTGCACCAGGAAAGGCGCCTCTTCTTTTGTGTTTTTTAGTGTTGAAATCTAGTTTACATCTGCTAATGGGATCTTCCAGCACACTACATTCAGGGTTAATTATGGTAAACATTAACTCTCCACCCCCTCACAAAGCAGAGGAAAATTCAGTTTTAGGGGTTTTCAGAGAAAAACAAGTAAAAATATAAGCAGCAATCTTTAATTTTTTTTTCTATGTAAATGAGAACAAATATAAAATAGGTGTTATCCCAAATTGGCTGCAAAAGTGGAAATACACTTATGTTTTGTATACAGTATTTATCTGTTGCATACAGGCATCGTATTCCTGGCGCTTGCACATCTGCTGCATACATATACTGTATAGTTGGATCTGGTAATGATCCAGCACTTTGACTTTTTGGATTTGCTAGCATAGCACTAATAGACGATTAGAAAACCATTTGCTATAACTAGATCTGATCCTTTCATTTTTTTTGTCTTGTTTTTAGGCCGCAGGTTTCCGTTATCCACGTCCAGCATCTGTGCCACCCTCTCCTTCCCTGTCCCGCCACTCCAGCCCACATCACAGTGAAACAGAAGATGACGAAAGATATGATGAGGAAGAAGAAGCAGAGAAAGATCGCCAGAACATCAAGTCAAAGGCTTTGTCCTCTACGGGGCCAGTTCCTGACTGGCGTAATCGCTCCAAAAAGGGCTCCATAGACGCAGGCAACTCCAGTAATGCTAGCAACGCAAGCACTCCCACTAACCCCAGCAGCCCAAGTGACCTCAGCAGCCCTACCAGTTCTCTCCTTGAGGAGAGAAACTAAATGTTTAATATCTAATATCCTTTATCTCCAAAACAAAGGTTGTTTGTTTTTGAGAAGAAATAAATTACAAGACGTACTGATCTGTATTGTTTGCCTAGGTCTGTAGAGTTTTTTCTAAGCTCCATCAGGTCAACACAACACCAGCATGTTTTTGGTGGCTGGTAAATGCTTGGTGGATCCAGAATACTGTCCAAACAATATGTAAAGGGCTTAGTCCAGCTTGAGTACCGAGGTTTGTAAACACATCTTTTTCACGCTCTTGGTCAAATATGTTTGCAGTGGAATCATTATACTTTAGGTTAAAGTTTAATCCTAATTAGATTGTGGGAGCTCTAGAAGATGGTGACCAAGACCAAATCCATTGGTTCAGCCAAGCTCATCCATTTGTATTTGGCTAAAGCACTTTTACTTTTAGTCTCATCCCGGTCCACCAAGCACTTCCCAACTTGAATTTCTTTAAAAAATAACAAAGGGTTGTCACCCCATAAAACAGAAGTGGTTAGGTCACACGTTGGTAATGGTGAATGTACCAGACAAGGTCCTTCTACCTTACAATATGTGCAATACTAGTGTGAACTTTTTCTCTGTTAATTGTGTACTATAGCTACTCAGAACTACTGTAACCAATTAGTCTCTTCCTACTCTGATGTCTGTGCCATTTACCAAATCAGTGTGTTCTTATATAGTGTCTTCCAGCAAGTTGTACTATTCATGTTTAATACTTAACTGTGTCTAGTTGACCTGATAACTGCACAGAGCAGCCATTTGTGAGCACATAATTCATAAAAATGCCTTTATAATGAAGCTGAAAGCAGAAAGAGGTTTAGTCATGTTACTGCATAGTAGCAAACAAATCAGTTTATTTTAGTCCACATAATAGAAGGAAACGGTGTGTGTGCAGGACAAAGGTTATGATTTAAAGAGCAATTCTACCCAGAACATATTTTTGTGGTTTTGAAAGGAGTACTACAGAGCCCCTGCAATGTCTAAAATGCTGTCTACAAGCCACTGTCCCCTGACCGTTGTAAAGAGGTTGGCTTTTAGGCAGTGCTACAGGTCCAGTTTTTCACACATTCCTATGGAGGACCTACTACAGGGCATAGAAGTCCTGTTTCATGTACCCCACTAATGGATTCTCCACAGGAGCATATGAAAAATTCAAAATCTGTTAACAGAAATAGCTTGGTTAAAAACACACGCTTTCAGCCTGTCATGGCTATACTGGGGGTGGAGAGCATTTCTTTGCAGGTATGGTGGACAGATGCAGCGACTTGGGAGCTGATGGAACCCTGGCCTGCAGTGCGTTGTAGAATTGCTCTTAAAGCTGCTACAGTTAAAGCGTCTCAGGGTGTTGCTTCAAAGTGCAACATTGATTAAATGTTCCCAACGTAAATCAAATAGCTGTACAGCTTGTACATTACCCATATGCTGGCAGTCCTGACCTCATTGTAGAGCACAAGATCTTTGCTAAAAGCTGTGCAGATCTCAGGTAAGCTAATTTTCTAAGATGCCCTGGTCTGTACAATGCAGTCAAGCTGCTTCCAGCAGGTATCTGAACAAGCTGCCGTCATCTTCCACACTGTCTGAATCCACTTGAATTTCAGACATTCTGCAGAATTTTCTGGGCTTTCAGTTGTGGGTTTCTTGTGTTTTTACAATGTACTTGTCTCAACTTGTTTTCAACAGTTTTGTGATCAAGCAAGGTAGTGTTCTGACTCCTCTCGTATGTCTATGACTGATGTCATGTGGTAGGGCTGTGGAGAGTGCACTCTCGCACATGAATAGATAGTATTTAAAAATAAAATTTTAAATCTGATGATACCGAGTGGTCTGTTATGTCCCCAAGTTTGTAAAGGATACAGAAGAATTTACTGTAAAAGAAAGGATTCGTGACAGACAGTGTTCTTTCTCTTACTACCATGATCTTTACATGAAACTTCCATGCAAGACACAACTCACTATTCAGAATATGTATTGTGTACAATATTCATTTACAATTGTTCACCTTTACACAGAAACGTGGACAATTAAGTCACAAAGCTACAATCACTGATCTGTTCCAGGTCAGTGGCCCAGAATGCATTAAGCCTTCAACATAACAACCAGGGTAACTGCTTTTTCAAAAGTAGAATTATGCAATGGCAGCCTACATATTTGTGTCTCCTTTTTTTTTCTTCAGTGTGGCAGACTAGAAAATCCGTCCAGGTAATATCTTGTCCATAGTGTCATTATTGCATGGTCCATTTTCATTGCTGTTTTTTGTAAAGGTTCTGAACCCCCTGGGAATTAAAATGCCAGCCATCAGTAATAAAAAAAAATGCCCTGCATTATTAGACGGTGGGAGGAAAAATGCATGCATGTCATTGGTCAGTAGGAGAAAATTAAAAATGCCCTGTCATTGATGGTCAGTAGGAGCAAAAATGGCCCAGCTTCAGTAATTAAAAAAAATACTGTGGTGTGTCAGTGATTGGAAAAAAAAATGCCCCATTGTTTGGGAGGAAGAAATTCCCCAGCATTGTCGGCAAACAATAAAATGTGATGTCAGCGCTCTCCAATCAGCAGGAGGCATGAGCTTTGTGTATTTGAGAGCTATATCTCTGACTTGGCAGGATATGTGTTGGACCTCTGCAGGCAGGCCACTGCTTCCACACAGAGAACAGAGTCCTTCATGTTAGGGAACAGGGTTTTCTACTTGTCTGCTCTAAGCTGTGGCTGCTTTCTTACAACAAGCTGTAAGACTTGATACAATTTTATATGTTGATGCACCTGAAATGTATTTACCGTATATACTCTAGTATAAGCCGTCCCGAATATAAGCCGAGGTACCTAATTTTACCAAAAAAAACTGGGAAAAAGTGTTGACCCGAATATAAGCCGAGGGTGGGAAATGAGGCAGCTACTGGTAGATAGATACCAATAAAATTACATTAATATTTATTTAAAAGAAAAATAACCTAGCTCTGTAAGTGGAAAAGGGGGTACAGGGCTACATATCATGTACTACGGATCATTTAACCCATTCATATTAGCAGAGGATAATTGTAAATCTATTGTTCAGAGATTTAAAGAATGGATATACAATAAATCCAATCTATTAAAAGGATCTTCCACCTTCAGGCTATTGGCATAGGGATGTGCACAGAGTACTGGGCCTGGGCACACCCTAATCAACTTTCCTGTACTGGGGCTCTTGCTGGCGGTGGCCATTTTGGGTAGGACAGACTGTACTGTAAGTAAATGGAAGCGATTTGTTGGACACTAGAGTACAAACTGTCCTGGACTGTGTCTCCAGCCGCCGCCGGCCATTTTGGCTTGGACAAAGACACCCTCAACACGGCTGTATAGAGAACTAATGATTTCTTCACTTGAGCTGCCATTCCCACGGCCTATGATCATACGGCTCTGTGCCTGATCGGCGATCGACGAATGATTTTTTTCTTCTCATGCTAGGACGGCTGAGAGGCTGAGCGGAGGAGCGTCGTGTCACAGCTGTGGGCGGAGCTACAAGAGGAGTCCTCTGGGCAGTCGCCAGCCAACTACATTAGACCCCACCTGGAGCTCCGCCCACAGCAGCGACGCTCCTCCAGCCTGCCCAGAGGACCCCAGCCACCACGGAAGGTTAAAAAAAAAACTGCAAGCTTCGGCACTAGGCATCGGGGGCATTTTGACAAGTACTTGTCAAAATGCCTTGTATTGGGCCCGATTCGATGCTAGCATCTGTATCGGGACATCCCTAATACAGTCCATAAACAATCGATCTAGTTGCGCAAGTTGATTTGTGTTATATGTTTGAGCAAAGACGAGCGTAAGTAGTTAGCCCAATGGCCCCCCAGGTGTAATCTCTCCCCCTACAACACAATTGGCTACAACAAATAACAAATAAATAACGTGTTACAATGTACATACAAACAAAGATAAAATAAAAATGGGGCAACAAGCAGTTGCGACCAAATTTAAAAGAGAAAATAAAATATATAACAATGTTCAAACCTAGATCGTATACCCATTAGGCATGTATAAACAAAACCATTGGAAATCAATACATTGTATGTCCAATCCCTACGTGTTTCGCGACTTGGCTTCTTCAGGGGATTGTGACCTACCCACCCAGTTGGAGTGGTTTTGGGAAGGTCGAACTCTCTGTATGGATTGTGGGCGGGGGTACAAATCCTCCGGCTGAAAGATCCAGTTCAGTTTTATGTTTTTTGTTTATTGTCTCTATGTCACAGGGAGACCTCCGGGGCGCAGTAGGAGGGAGGGACTGCACGTCCAAGCTGGAGGATGGGACTGCCTATATCTGTTTTGTAGTGTTCTTACGCTCCAACATCCACACACCTTGCATCTGCTTGTTGTGAGGTAGAGGGTTATAGTAAAGGTCCAGAATCCAATTCATCACAGCCACCTTGCTGTCTCCCGCCCGTGGGCTGACATCTCTGGCTCCTATGTGGAAACTTCACACTGGACTTCAAGCATCTTGCAGTGTGTGCCTCTCCATTCTTCCAGCAAGATGCTTGAAGTCCAGTGTGAAGTTTCCACAGTCTGTGTTGATTTGGGAAGCCATGTCATCTGCTGGTGTTGGTCCACTTCAGTCCAGGGTCAACGCAGGCGTCTACCAGGAGATTTTGGAGCACTTCATGCTTCCTTCCGCAGACGAGCTCTATGGGCATGCTGACTTCATTTTCCAGCAGGACTTGGCACCTGCCCACACTGCCAAAAGCACCAAAACCTGGTTCAATGACCGTGGGATTACTGTGCTTGATTGGCCAGCAAACTCGCCTGACCTGAACCCCATTGAAGTGAAATAAATTAACTTTTGCAGGATATTCTAATCGAGTTTCACCTGTATGTTCCTCTTTGTCATAGGCTGCTGCTATGCCCTACTACAGCAGAGGGAGTTTTCTGATTCGGATCTTTTATGAAGGTTCAGACAGCTCCTGAACTTCGGTTCACTTGATTGTCAGCCGACTCAGCAAGCGAACCGATGATTTGATTCATGAATTGGTTCTTTTGAATGAACTGATCAAAATGAACCGATTCATTTCAAAGATCCGAACTTCCTATCTCTACATAAGATGTCAGAATTTCAGGCGGACAGGGGCAACCACTGGGTCCTACCGCCGAGACTGTGTTGGTAGCTGTGAGCCATCACATGCCTTCTGTGGAGCTCCTCACAATCACTTCTCCCTTTCTGTGATTTGTTTTTATTTTTCTTACTTTCAGAGATAATTGCTTCCTGCTGGAGGTGTAGGGTGAGTGTTTGTGTCCCTATGTTGAATGGTATGTGTCCTGATCGTTTGTCATCTGTGACAGTATCACCTCATGGTTGGGAGGGGGGGTTAAGAGAGAGGAAGGGAAGAGCCTCCCTGTCGCTCACATGCTTCTCACCGCTGAGGCTACATGACAGGTTACACAGCGGGGAGGATTTCCCTGCTGTGTAACCCGTTAGATGCCGATCTGAATGGAGAAAAAGCTGTCAGCTTTTTCCTCGATAATTGTAGGTGAG